AGTTGTAGGTGCCTAGACCCAATAATGTTCAAAGTACAAACAACTGCCTCTTCCAAGGAGAACCATAACTGATTGGCAGGTGAATTAGTGTAGAATTGTGAAAGAATGCATTGTTGAAGTTGTAGGATGCCTAGACCCAATAACGTTTCAAAGTACAAACAACTGCCTCTTCCAAGGAGAACCATAACTGATTGGCAGCATGAATTAGCCTTCAACTTAACAGAAAACTTCATGCTATACTTCAAAAGGGAAATACATATTATTTAATCACTCTGGATGAATCAATGATACTACTGACTCGACACAGGTTTTATACTTAATTCGGGCCATAAAGATGGTTTCCTTTGCTACGAAGAGTCATACTTTGGGCACTCTCGCCAACAGAACACAGGGACTAGTGCACCTTCAACAACTTTCAAGATAAATGTCATGAAGTTGGACTGAATTTGGCAAATTTAGCAAGTGTATGTACAGACGGTGCACCTTCCATGACAAGAAGACATGAAGGGTTATTGCACAGATAAAAATACTTTTAACAAATCCAGACGCTTTCATTCCTTCTCATTGTATCTTGCATCAGCAAAATCTCTGTGCTAAAGCTACTACTTTAAGTAGCACTTTGCAACAAGTATTGTGAACTATATTCATGCAAATGCAACAGCATCGTCAGTTTTGTAACATGCTAAAATGAGGTATTCAGTGTGGATTTGCCATGTTATTCTAAAGTGCATTGGCTATCTGAGGGACCAGTGTTAGCCAAACTTTTATCTCTGTGAGAATAATTAAATTTTATGAAGAACAAAATCAGCAATGTGAATTATTGAAAGAAGATTTCTATAGGAATGCAGCATTTCTGTGTGATATCATGCCAAATCGAAATGACTTGAATATTTCTTTGCAAGGTAAAACTAAGTCTATATATATGATACGTGGCAAAAAAAATCCAAGCATTTCTAAAAAAGCTATCTTTTTTCAAAACACTTCCTCTTCAAAAAACAGTTTCAGATGAACATTTTCCCCAGATAGCAAAAGTCACTGATGAGCAAGATGATAGATGTGAATCATTTGAAGAATGGGAAGCTGTTACAGACCTATTAATTGGAGCATACAATGAAAGGTTCACTGACTGAAAATCATGACATCACACCCAAATTAATTAGTATTTCGGCCTCACCTAGCTGATATCACCAAGGCACCTAAAGAACTACAGATGGAACTGATCGAGCTCTCAGATGACATTTTCAAGTCATCGTTTTATACTAAGAAAGATCCAATTGAAATATGGGAAAAATGCAGAATACCCAACACTTTCAGCAACATGCCCCCCAAAAATGCTTTCTTGTTTTTCAACCATTTATTGCTTCAAGTCTACATCCTCCTACCTAACCCAAATCAAGACACCCTCTTAAGGTCACAAATGACTGACCCCCATCTAGAGGATGAACTGAAACAGTGGGCCTCCATGCTACACAACCAAATATTCAACTGCTTTCCAACAAAAAGCAGACACAACAAAGTCATTTAACAAGTTAACTTTCAAATTAACAAATAGTTTTCATTTTTTGAAATTATTAAGTACATAGTAGTTAGACATTTACAAAATCATGTACATTTTTAAGTGGAACACATATAACTGAAGTTTCTTGAATGGGGCCTTATTTGATTATAATAAATTAATGCAGTCCTCCAATGTAAAAAGGTTCCCCACCCCTGGACTTGGAACTGTTTTCTCATTCTTCATTGCATGTCCAATAAACTACACACACCTTGGCTGAAGTACAATCTCAGAACCACTTAACAAACTAGGAAAAAAAAATCTTCTTTCCATGCCTTTTAATATACACAGGCCAGAAAGAGAAAATTGCTTTAGGTCAGTGTTTCTCAACTTGGGCTGGTCTTTGGATCACCAGGGAAGCTTTCAAAAATCCTGATGGCCAAGTGACACTCCAGACCAATTAAATCAGAATCTTGAGACATCGGTATTTTTTTAAAGCCCCCACGTGATTCTGGTGAGCAGCCAAGGTTAAGAATCACCATTCTACAAAAAAGAGGGTTATATCACTTAGCAGACTTTGAGACAGACAGATACACACACACACATACAATTGTTGACAATCCCAACCACATTCCCTCTTCAGTCCTATCCAAGGAACAAAATGAAAGGAAAAGGAGAAGCTATGGTTTACGTGCACTGAATCCCCAAAACCTAAAATCAAACGTAGCAAAGAGTATCTGAATTAAACTCCTCCCAGCCCTCTTCTACCTCAGGGCCTCGCATTAATGAATGAGTCGGTGTTTTTGTGGAAATAAAGGCTGAATACACAGGTGCTTTTTCTTGGTTCTTTAAGTGACAGATTAACGGAGTAGTAAGCACATGATTTGATCAGTCTCTGTACTTTAAGAAAATGTGTATAGGTTTCAGTTATAAAAAGAAACAGCAAACAACCTTCCCAAGTGATAGCCATTTTCAGTTCCTTCTTCTTACATTTTTCATGCATTCCCTCTCTTACCACTTGTTTAAACTTTCACTGGCCCTGGCTTTCTGACACTATCCTACTTCATTCCCTTTTCATCAATGTGTTGTGTTCCAAGTCCAATTGCATTAAATATAATACATTTAAAATTCAGGTACATATATCCGATGCCATGTTTATAAAAGGAATGAAACTAAATTTTGTGTTGAATTTCACAGGAAATCCAACCTAATTAGATGATATTATTCAAGTCAGTTTCTTAAGGAAATGAATACTTAAAACCAAAAAGTTGCTATCCTGCAGAGAGAGATTCAGTGCTTTTCATATTTTGCTGTCTTGGCATCTTGAGGAAACAAAGAATAACCTCAGCTTCCCTCAGGCTCTCCCTGTGACACTCTGCAGCTGGGTCTGAATGGGTCTCAAGCAGCAGCCCCAAATCACCCCAGGTGGCTCACAACTTTCTTCCCCTGCGACAGCTCACTGTCGATTCCAGCTGTCCCGCCTGTAGCCTCAGCCTTCACCAGGATCTTTGCTGCCGGAATCACAGAATTGCAGTGACTAGCAGACAACAACTGTGTGTGTAAAGAGGGCAAAGTCTCAGACTAATGGGGAGAGTTTCCAGGACCGACAGGGCCCTTGTTTTCTTCCCAACCCATTAGGATTGCCTTATCATCACTGCTCCTCAGGGACCAGAGGAGGAGGATCAAAGCACCCTATGTAGCTGATCTTCTTGAAAGGCCTGTTGACCACAAGCAGGAGGGGTGGGGAAGAGAAAAGATGAGAGGAGAGGAAGTGCAGACCAGGGGAAGGAGTGGAGGGCTGAACACAAACCTGTGGAGCCTTTTTGAGACTGAATTCCCCCAACCAGGAAGAAGGGGATGGATTCAAGCCCTGTCACAGATGTCACCCGGACCTACACTCTACCTTCACCTGGGAAAACTCTGCAACACTGTTCTTCCTGGCTCACCCACTACAGTGCCATCAGAGACAGCAGGAGGGACGTTCTTGGTGTGGTGTCATAAACAGATTATAAATAACAAAACAAATCTGAAAAATGTGATGTCTCTTTCATATATATTAATAGCATTTATTCAATCACATCAAACAAAAAACCCACTAAGTTCTCAAGTAACTAGCATCTGTTGCTACTTCACAGGGAAGAAAAGAAATGCAAAGTCAAATAATGATGCCAAAGTAAGCACAAGCTCCCTAGAGGCTGCCTTAAATTTAAGAACAAATATGAATATAAACAAACAATTTCAAATTATAAATTAGACCTCTATGATTACAATACCAGGAAAATTATTGGCACTTCATGGGAGCAAAATGGAGAGAAATACTTCAAGATTTAGTTTGGTTACTTAATAAGATAAACCTGGTAGAAACAAAGAGTAACATTGGTATCATATGATTATTAAAATAAAAATTAGTTCGCCATTATTCTACCCCCAAAGTAGTAGTCAAAAAGAAAATTTTACCTCATATTTGGAGCAAAGTACAAAAGTTTGGTCTCCTCCAGAGAAGATCTGCTTAACAATATGATATTTAAAGCGATCTGTCAAAAAGATTCCAACAGCATAGTTTTCAATAATTGAAGTTTCTCCTTCGTTCCCTTTTCTAATATTCTAAAATACACTTCAGAGTGGTTTCCTACCCATTTGCTCATGTCCAAGAAGAAACCTTCTCTCCGGGCTCTCTGCCTAGAACTATTTCTACTTCCATTAAAAGTAAGTACATAAAATGGTATCCTCCAGTCGAACTCTGCCTCTGCCCCCTCCCTGACTGCCAAGCCGATCCTGACCTCGTTTCTCTTTTTCATTCTAACTCTCTCAGGCCACTGACCTGAAATAAAGAAGAGCATTATTCGAAACGGGAACATGAGACTAACAGATAATTCCTCATCTGCGTGCAGTGGCCTCTGTCCCTTCCGGAGAAGCTTGTGGTCTCAGAACCTCGTTTCCTGTTCCTTGCTTTTTCCCCCATCCCAGTTTGTTCATGTTCACACTCTCACACCACCCAATTGTTTTGTTTTGCTTTGTTTTGTTTAAAGAGACAAGGGCTCACATGTTTCCCAGGCTGGTCTCAAAGTCCTGGCCTCAAGCAATCCTCCTACCTTGGCCTCCTGAGTAGCTGGGACTACAGATGTGCGCCACCACGCCAGGCTCCAAATGCTTTTGTTTCTAATACACCATGCTATTTTATATCTCCACGCCTCTTCCCTCTGCCACCCCAGCACACACTGCGTCTCCTTAAATGGCAGCTCCTAGAACAAAATTTGAGTGATGCTCCCAAAAGTGGGCACCTCTGTGCCACTCACCGCTGCCCACTCCCGCTCAGCCCTCTCCCTGGCTAACTCCAAAGCCCCTGCAAGACACAGCTCCAACTTCCTCTACCCAGAATACCCCCTGCTGCCTTCCTCCGTGCCCCCACTTTACAGCGAAGGTTCCTAAAACCACAGCATTTGCCCACTTATGTTATAAAATCGTTCTGGCAAATATCCAAGCTCAGATTTAAGAACACATAAGTCGGATTATAATTCAACTGCAGAAATTTCTGATTTCAGGCCAAGCGTGGTAGCTCAGGCCTGTAGTGACAGCACTTTGGGAGGCCACGATGGGAGGATCACTTGGGGCTGGGAGTTCAAGACCAGCCTGGGCAACATGGCAAGACCCCATCTCGACAAAATATTAAAAAAATTAGCCTGCATGGTGGAGCGACTTGGGAGACTGAGGCGAGAGGATCGCTTAAGCCCAATAGTTTGAGGCTTCAGTGAGCTATGGTCACACCACTGCACTCTAGTCTTGGTGACAGAGAAACACCTCATCGCCCCTCCCCCCCCAAATTGTGGTTTCAAATTAACCTACAAAACACTTGAGTTTCTTAAATTGGTATACATTTCTTAAACACACGTTTTCCACATGTGAGTACAATGCCTTAGACAAAAGAAAATTTACAAGTGACAGGGGGACACCAAGGTTTCCTTTTGCTTTTCGGAACATCACCGAAACAAAATCTTGTTTCTTTTCTAAGTGCCACTACATTTTCAGATGCTCATGTATTCATCCACTGCTATTTACTGAGTGACAAGTTTATGCCAGGCCCTGTGCTATATGCTAGGTTTACAAAGAAGAAGAGTTAGTCCCTTAAATTTGTTATAATCTAGTAGGGAACTTACAATTGTTATGGTTTAAAAAAAATTCCTAATCAGGCCATAAGTGTGTCACCTCACAGACTTTTTAAAATCAAAATTAATTATTAAATTATACTTTTTTTAAATGACTCTCTAGTTCCATTTCAGCTTCTAGATTTATTATTTCAAGATGAGGCAGTCACTCAAGTAAGTCACTGCCTTACTTTCATTTCCAACGAAATGAATACTTGGCTATTTAACTTTTTAGAGAAGAAAAAAAAATGGCAGAAAAAGAGATCACATCATGTTATGACCAAAATATTAATAACAAAGCGAAGGTCACATAATACACGGGCTTCAGAATGATGCAGACCTGGGTTCAAATCCTGCCACCAGAGGCTGTGTGATCTTGGGCAAGTTACTTAATCTCTTTAAGACTATTCCCTCCTCTCTAATATGTGGATAACAGCCACTAGCTCCTAGTGGTTTTGAGTGCTTAGCATTGTAATGAAATTTGGTTAAGGATTCAATAAATGTCAACTCACATTATTAGCAATAATAATAAAATTTATATACTACCACCAAGGTCTTTGGGGACAACATTAAATCTTATGCTTTATGGAGTCTCTAGCATCTCCAACTCTAGTGCTTCATGCACATTAAGTACTCAAATATTTGTTGACTGGTGGTTTAGAATTTACTCATGTTCATTCCCTCCATAAGACCTCAGGGGAAATAACAGGGACTTATTGATATGGTTCAGATGTTTGGCTTCTCGAAATCTCACGTTGATATCTGATCCCCTGGTCTGAATGGGGGACCTGGCGGGAGGTCCCTTGGGTCATGGGGCTGGATCCCTCATAAATGGCTTGGTGCCCTCCCATGACAATGGGCGAGTTCTCACTTTGTGAGTTCATGAGAGAGCTGGCTGTTTAACGGAGGATGGCACCACCTCCTCCCTCTCTTGTTCCCTCTCCTGCCACGTGACACACCTGCTCCCGCCCTGCCTTCCACCTTGACTGGAAGCTTCCTGAAACCCTCACCAGAAACAGATGCTGGTGTGATGCTTCTTGTACAATCTGCAGGACTGTGAGCCAAACAAACCTCTCCTCTTTATACATCACCCAGCCTCGGGCATTCCTTTACAGCGGCACAAAACGAACTGAGCCACACGTTCTATCAACAATTGTTTTCATCGTTTAAAATACCATTAAACTCGCGCGAAGATCACGCTTACCAGCTCGGGCTGACAGCTGGCTACTGTGGGCAGCCCAGTAACCCTTGACAGGAGACGGGCACTTAACATTACAGGTGTGTCCAGTTCCGAGTTGACCTCTTGCTCCACAACCAAATGCATAGATGAGTCCGGAAGAAGGCACAAAAGCTAGGGTGTGTTGTCTGTGGACAAATAATTTAAATTAATGCATAACGCACCAGCACAGTTCCTGCTGACGTGGACGTACACTCAGACCCTGACTTTTAACTTCCACGTGTGCTCCACATAGAGCCTCCTCCACGATAGCATGGGACTTCGTGCAGCAGCATTTTTGCTGTGACACTGCCCTTCTCTGACACTCCAGGTCTTGGGGAGGATGGCAAGTCCTGGAAAGAGCTGAACGATCTTCTGCATTTGGCTTCTGAGATAAGTGGGAAGAAGCAGGGTAGACTCAGGCAAAATTTCCACGAAGTTCTTTGGGACTCTCTCACTTTCCTTTCTTCATCTCTTCCCATATCCTGATACTATGTCCTCTAAGAAGTCTAGCATCTCCATGTTCTACTCTAAACTCCTTCCTTACAACACCCTATTAAGATCTGACTTTTCACGCCTGTCATCCTAGCACTCTGGGAGGCCGAGGCAGGTGGATTGCTCGAGGTCAGGAGTTCGAAACCAGCCTGAGCAAGAGCGAGACCCTGTCTCTACTATAAATAGGAAGAAATTAATTGGCCAACTAATATATATAGAAAAAAATTAGCTGGGCGTGGTGGTGAATGCCTGTAGTCCCAGCTACTCGGGAGGCTGAGGCAGGAGGATCGCTTGAGCCCAGGAGTTTGAGGTTGCTGTGAGCGAGGCTGATGCCACGGCACTCAGTCTAGCCTGGGCAACAAAGTGAGACTCTGTCTCAAAAAAAAAAAGATCTGACTTTTTCCACATTTCACCACCAGAGTGCATGCAATTCAGATTTCTTAAAATGATAGCTTAAAATGGTAGCTAGGTATAATCACGTGCTCCATTACTACAAAGACAAGATCCATTTCTGGGTCTCAGCAGATACCAGGAAGCTCTTAAGACCACTCACCTGCCACAAGCAATCTGAGTTACTTCACTACCCATCAGCTCTAGAACTCTTCTTGGATTAACCTCATCATTCATGGAGTCATGTCCAAGCTGCCCACAGGAACCAGCACCAAAAGTAAACACACCTCCATTCTAACAAGGAACAAATGGCAGCATGTCTTCACTCTATCTCTGAGCTTGAGGATACTATTTTAAAACTTGTATACAAAATTCCTCTCACAGTCGTTTACACAAATACTACACTCATTTGATACTTGGCCAAAATCACTTCTTTAGAACGTTCGTTAAATAGAAAAATAATAAAAAAGGGAACTTAAGACTACATTCTTATGGAACAAAGGCAGCTCTGCTCAAGGGAATGTGTGCTATCTGTAAATTTAAAAAATTGTTTAAAAGTACAATGATGTGTTAGGAGACAAAATTTTAAAATGAGAAACAAGGAGTTAGGTGAAATGAGACAATCTTATTTGATCATTCCTATGTAAGAAATTAAGTGCTCCACACATTCCTTGAAAAGATTTTTTAACAGCTATATTTGAATGAATGATAAAGCATTTTATTAAAGTCAATCTAGAACAGCTATTTTTTCAATACGAAAATAATGTTTCCATTCTCGCTGAAATGCAACTATTTAGAAGCAAAAGAAACAGGTTGATAATTTTAAAACATGAAGTTGCTATTTCTTTTTTTATGTATTTAAGTGACTTGTTTTTTAAAGGAACATGGGATATTGTTTTATATATATACTGTACTATATTTTAAAGTTATTTATACTGAACTATTTTTACTAAGTTACTAAGAGAATCTATAACATTACCAAAGAGGAAAACACAGACATTTAAAAAAAAGTCTTTTTGTATTCCTTTGGAAAACAAACCAAGCTAAAGAGAGCGTTCAAGTTCAAGCCAAAATACTGTAAATTATACACCATTACCATTCTAAAATAATCAAGCAATTATAATCACCCGTTCCACACCCAGCACGAATGCACAGTACTCCCAACCCTTTACCTTTGTGAGGACGGCTGTGTGCTCTTCTCCACAACTAATATAGACAACTTTTTGCGTACGTAAGAGTTTCACGTGGCACGGAGACTCCCGATCTAGAATAAGATGGATATCACAATGTCACTATCGTTTGCCTTGGAGATGAAATATATTTAACTATCTTAGCATGAATTTTAGGTCCCCCTGGATTGCTGACACACATTCAGCTTCCTCCCTGTGTCTGCTCTTGGATGTCCAACAGATTTCTCAATTTTACCATATCTACAACCCAAGCCATCCATGGTTTCTGCACACTCTCCAACTCTGCCCACTCCCCATCTCCCCTATACAGGTTTTCCCCATTTCATAGATGGTACTTTCATCCTTTTGGCTTTTCTTTTATTTCAAACCACAGGAGCAAAAATGAGCAGAAACAACTGGTCTCATCTTCAAAATGCATTCAAAATCCCACTTTACTCCCACAACCTCCAAACTCACGGTCTTCTAGCTTCCCCCTTGCCCGACTGCAGCCAAAGTCAAATGGGATCACTACTCTCTTCAAGACCCTGTGTCCTCCCCTCTGACTGAGAAAAGCAGCCACAGTCCTCACCTGCCCTACCCCCGACCTCAGCTCTGCGGCTCTTCCCCTCGCTGTCTCCACACCTCACGCCTTCCCACGTCCTTTTCCCTTTGATACATTCTTCGCCCTGATATCCACGTCTCCTTTCCTGCCCGACTTCCTACAAGGCTCTGCTCAAATATTTTCTTATCAGAGGGCCCCTTCCTGACCACCGTATGTAAAACAGACAGCTTTCCTCTCAAACTGGGACATACTATACATTTACTGCCGTGTTTCCCCGAAAATGAGACAGGGTCTTATATTTATTTTTCCTCAAGACACCCTAGGGCTTATTTTCAGGGGGTGTGTTATTTTTTTAAGTACGGTACGACCATCTACACTGATTCAAATACAGTTAAGTCGTCTTCTTCTGGAACATCATCATAACTTTCCAAACCCCGAATTCCATCCTGAATTTCTTTTGACTCTGTTTCCTTTAGAGCCATGGGCCCCGAGCGCTCCTGTCGAGCACTAGAGCTCTCACGGGGCAGATAAGAAGGGCTGCTCGTGTTCTTTCCCACCCCATGACGACGTGCAACCGGTTGTGTAGATGCGCTGCGCAGCCACGCCCATCATTAAGGCAGATTTTCATAGCCACGCCCATCACTAGGACTTATTTTCATAGCCACGCCCATCACTAGGACTTATTTTCATAGCCACGCCCATCACTGGGGCTTATTTTCGGGGTAGGGCTTCTATTGTGCACATGCTTAGAAATCCTGCTAGGGCTTATTTTATGGGTAGGGCTTATTTTGGGGGAAACGCGATAGTTTATTTGCTTCCATCCACTAGAATACAGTCTCCACTAGGCCAAAGATGTTGTTTTGTTTGCTGCTGTTCCTTCCATACCCAGCAGGGGGCGAGCATAAAGTGGGTCTGCAGGAGGCACCTGCTGAACAAATTCACGTGCTTTTGAACTAAAGAAGCACACAGGAAGAGTTTACCTACCCTTTTCATCACTGAGCCCTAGCTGCCCTGCATTGTTCATCCCCCAGCCAAAAACAGCTCCTGAGAGAGACAGGGCGAAGCTGTGAGCCCCTCCGGCAGCCACCTGGGCCAGCGGGATCCCCTCCAGGGACCTGACCCTCTGTGGGCTGGCTTGGGAGGGGAACTCCTTCCCCAGGCCCAGCTGCCCGTGGCTGTTCTGTCCCCAGGTGAAGAACTGGCCATCTGAAAGAAGAACAGGATAACCGGCATTACAAACAACGACACAAATTCCATACAGAAGAATTATCCAGTTATTAAGATCATTTGTCACTCTGGGAGGCCGAGGCGAGTGGATTGCTCGAGGTCAGGAGTTCACGACCAGCCTGAGCAAGAGCGAGACCCCGTCTCTACTAAAAATAGAAAGAAAGTAATTGGCCAACTAAAAATATGTAGAAAAAATTAGCCGGGCATGGTGGCACATGCCTGTAGTCCCAGCTACGCAAGAGGCTGAGGCAGGAGGATCGCTTGAGCCCAGGAGTTGGAGGTTGCTGTGAGCGAGGCTGATGCCACGGCACTCTAGCCTGAGCAACAGAGTGAGACTCTGTCTCAAAAAAAAAAAGATCATTTGTTAGTTCCACCAACCCCCTACACCAAACCTACCCAAGAGCAAGGGAGCAGAGACACTTCATGCTGTTAAGACTGCCAAAACCAAAGCTCCACTTGACATGACATCAAAGAGAGAAGCTGAGTCTGAATGCCCTTCAAAGACTACGAATATTCATGCAAAGGAAATATTACATGGTTAAGTAAGTTCAATTTTGAGCAGGCCAATGACCAGGCATAAGCAAGGTGAACTAGTTCTGAGCACACGAGGACCATGAGACCCAGAACTTCAGGAGGTCTACCTATGACCATGGGACTGCTCCGCAGATGATCAAGAAGGACATACAAGCGCAGATTTACTCCAAAGACAGTTCAGTATTATTTGCCACCTTAAGTTTCTCTAACTCCTTCTTTTTCATTTATTTGGGAGCTTGACAGCAGAATGTAGCTTGAGAGTAGGCTGTAGCTAAGAAAAACCAACCTTCCACATGCTCAAGAACACCCAGGTATGTCCTCCTCCTGCTCATCTTCCCCTTAGAGAGCTGGAGCAGCAAAAATGACCACCCACTTCATCATCCACACCCTGGGAAAAGGACGAGCTATGCAAATGCTATCCTATGCAAATGCTATCCGAGAACTGTCACAACAACAATGCAATAGCATTGCATAGACCAACAGCAATGCACAGACCCTAACCCTTAATTAAAGGCTCTGAGTTAGATAATGTCACACAAAAACGCAAGGAGAAATGTTTTCAAAATTAACATATAACAGCACTAGCATATATTTAATGTTACATTACCAGCTGCAAGAGCCAAGCAATGCCAGTTGCCACAGGAAACTTGTAATATCGTCTGCTGGTTCAGCTTCTGTATCAACCTAAAAGAGAAAAGGCTTTTTTTTTTAAACACGGGCATTCATACACAAACACAATTATCAGAAATACTCCCAACTATATAAAGTATTTGTAAAAAATAATATCATCTTGCCTGAAAGACTTTTTAAACTCAAATATATAGTTTTACATGATATAATTTTATTAGGTCTTTCACTAGCCTCCAGCCTCTACTATTTAAAACAAAAAAACAAAAACACCTCTGCACTTAGACCTCGATCCTCTGTTATTTCCTACCCTGCCATCTCCAACTCAGGAACAAATGAAATAAGCTACAGAAGAGAGATTCCTGAGAATATGGTTGGTGTCTAAATGGCTTTCGACATAAGGGCAATGCCATGATCCAGCAATTTCACTTCTGGGTATATAACCAAAAGAATTAAAAGCAAAATCGCAAAGAGGTATTTGTGCACCCATGTTCATATAGCAGCATTATTCACAAGAGCCAAAAGGTAGTTATAACTCAAGTGACCACTGATAGATGAATGACTAAACAAAATGTGATGCCTAAATATAACAGAATATTAATCAGCCTTAAAAAGGAAAGAAATTCTGACACATGCTTCAACATGGATGAACCCAGAGGACACAGTGCTAAGTTATTTTATCAACAACCATTAAAAGCATTTAATAAGCTAGTTGCAAAAAGTGAAAACTGTTTGAATCCACTTATATAAAATATCTAGAGTAGTCACATTCATAGAAATAGATTTTATAAGATAAAAAATGTTCAGATGTGAACATACTTAACACTACTGAACTACACATTTTAAAATGGTTAAGGTGGTATATTTTATGTGTATTTTACCACAATTTCAATTACCACAATTAAAAAATAGGGGCAATGCCTCCTAAACCCTAATTCCCTAGAATAGTAAAGAGGAGGATTATATGGTTTCCTTTTAAATCTTATTCCTCTGGCTTGCTCATGTGAAAAAGAGAGACAAGAACAACACCTACTTTACAGGTTAGTGAGAATTAAATGAAAAGTTCCATGTAAAGTGCTTGGCCCTGCCCAACAGCGTTGCGCATCCTAGGAATGGCTCCTGTCCCCTATTTTAATAGGTGACAAGTGCTGTGTCCAACAACAGTAAATGCATTCAGCCATGGGAACAAAGGGGTCAGATGGACACCCCTTCAGGAGACGGGTATCAGAGGCAGATGTCCCATGGGGGCGGGGACAGAGGATTACTCAGTGCGACAGATACTGCTTTTGTTAATATTTTCTCAAAATATAAAAATGTAGACTTCATAAATGCATTCAGTACAGAATAGAACTGAACTGATTTTTTATTGAGATAACTTTAGACTCACATACAGTTGTAAGAAAGAATACAGAGAGACCCTTACACACTTTGTCCAGGTTTTCTCAATGGCAGCATTTTGCAAATCTACATATAATACAATATTATAACCAGGATATTGACATTAATACAATCTACCAATCTTGCACTCCCCAATTTTACTTGTACTAATTCTTGTGCATTAATTTTACCATCTGTGTAGGTTCATGTATCCACTGCTGTAGTCAAGATACTCAACAGTTCCACCACCGCAAGGATTCCTCGGGTTGCACTTTTATAACCTCTCTTCCCCTGCCCAGTCCTCAGCCCTCGGCAACCACTCATCAGCCTTCCTTTCTAAAATTCTGTTATTTTTTAAATTTTATATAACTGGAACCCTACAGTAGGTAACCTTTAAGGATTAGCTTTTTTCACTCAGAATATTTCCCTGGACATTCATCTGAGTTGTGTTTATCAATAGTTTATAGAACACCACCATTTTCTAAAGTAGGAAAATGCATTACTGCCTGGGGGGCCAACTTTTCAGAGGCTGCTACGTAGCATCAGCCCTTTTTCCTGTTCAGTTTCCACTCAAATTCCCCACGCTGTCCCCTTCATGGGTCCCTGTCAGTTACAGAAAGGAAGCAAGTCAAAAGACAAAGGCAAATAACAGGGAAATTGTACCCTTGAGGTAGAGAGGAGGGGTACACATGGTGCAAGAGCATGCCGTGTTTTACCTACTCAGCTCATTCCATCCTCCCCATAACTCCGTAAGGTATACAACATACAATTCCATTTTTAAGCTAGGAAACTGAGGTTTAGAAAAGTTAAATAATTTTCTCAACGTCATTCACTTTATAAGTAACAGAGCCAGTATTAGAATCCAAGGCTGTTTGATTTTAAAGCTATGTTACTTTCCTATGGAAATTAATTCATACCAAGGTATGAATTAATGAATTTATTTCAATTAAGTTATAATAAACTATATACAAACCAAAGCCTTGCATACACAAATCATCCATAATTTTGACATAAGTAATGAAAATTAAATCGCTACTGTAACACAGATTACTTCATTTTTAAAAAATGAAATGCCATTAAAAACCTTTATTGAGTCTTTGGTCATCAACAAATGAAATACTTTTGTCATTAACATTATAAATCTTCTTCCTCATATTACACACAATCTAACTAAAATTTTACACTCTTTTTTTCTTATTATCATTCTCCCTCTCCTCACAGAATTAATTTTTAAAAGAAATGAATCTAAGACATTACCTGTTCTAAATCGGGAAATGAATCAAATCAGTCTTACCTCCATGATCCTCTTTTCCTTAAAACAGCTTTTGATTAAAGAGACAAAAATCTAAGAAGGGTAAAAAGGAAGAGGAAGAAGGATGTATTGTCCTTTAAAGGGGACAATAATTAAGCAGGAGAGGAGAGGCCATTTATTAAACAAACTAGTACAGAGTAATGTCCGTGCTGAGCACTCTTAGCAAGGGTGATGCTAGAAAGAATAATCCAGTTCTCCTGCCATCAAGAGCTCACAGCTTTGTAAGAAAAATAAACATTAAGTAAATAATTACAAATAATGTGACAAATACAATAGGGGCATGTGGTATATTTTTAGTATAAAAGGATAAGAATTAAATGAAGGGAATAAAATGGTAGCCTCCTTGATTATTAAGAACCCTCAGCAAGGCCTGGCACGATGGCTCACGCCTGTAATCCTAGCTCTCTGGGAGGCCAAGGCGGGAGGACTATTTGAGATTGAGAGTTCGTGACCAGCCTGAGCAAGAGTGAGACCTGTCTCTACTAAAAATAGAAAGAAATTAATTGGCCAACTAAAAATATATAGAAAAAGTTAGCCAGGCATGGTGGCACATGCCTGTAGTCTCAGCTACTCAGGAGGCTGAGGCAGGAGGATTGCTTGAGCCCAGGAGTTTGAGGTTGCTGTGAGCTATGTTGACAACATGGCACTTTAGCCCAGACAACAGAGTGAGACTGTCTCAAAAAAAAAAAAAAAAAAAGAACTGAGGGAGGAGGATCAAGATGGCAGACGAGAAACACTGCCAGAAAGAGTGTCTCTGCAGAAAAGACAGATTCTAGCAGAAATTAGAAAAAAGAAGCAAGAAGGCCAGCATACAGCGGACGAGGGCCAGAAGGAGGGGTACCTGAGACCCCGGGAGACTCCATGGGAGGAGGCTTCGGAGTAGAACTGGAAGCTGAGACCGCTGGAGCAGCCCAGAGACCAGCGGGAAGGGTAGGTGGTAAATCACCTTCCCCTCCCCTGCATTCGGGACTGCTGGTGGGCGCCCCAGCGGGTGGAGAGACCTGCGGACACCAGCCCAGAGAAGGCCACCGCCAGCTAGCAGTGAGCCTGTAGCAGACACGGCACCAGACTCCCAAATCCCTGTACACCTCCGTGTGCACAGACCCGAGCACGCGGCAGGCGCCATATTGCCTCCTTCTCCCCTCCGCCGACCCTACCTGCGGCTGCCCAGAGGCAATACAGCCACCAGCCGGAGGCACCTCCAGGGAACGGGACCTTCCCTTTTGGGACCCTACAGCTGACTAAGGTGAACTCAGACTGTGAGCTCCCTACCCACCAGCCCTCCCAGGTGCTGCTGGCACGGTGTTCCCAGGAAAACGGTGCTGACTCAGAGGCTGAGAGACACAAACACAGCTTGGGCTCCCTGTGGGTGAATTGGGACCAGAACTCCTCTCCCTGGTGGGGATACAGTTGAACTCTGGGACCCAGAGGTTTCATCTCTTC